AAATTCCTAAGACGTTAAATAAAATATATGGTAGCTCCTCTTCCTCTGCAAATATGGGACTCACCTAAGGACTCCTAATAGCATTTTTGATTGGTGTTCAGGTCATTTAATCAAGCAACACCCATCTGTGTGATCCCCAGTCGTCGTGTCTTCATTACACATTCAGAGGCTTCAATCTCACTTGATTTTTCACGTATGGAGTTTTAGTATTACTTGGAACGTGAGACTAGGTTGCGTGCCATGAGCAAACGGCGTGTTCTTAGAAAGCTCACTCGGGACTGAAAGTTCACCCAGGGCGCGGGGGCGGGCGGTGCAGGAAGTTAGCCACAGCCACAGCGAACTGCAGACAGGGTCTAAGCGAGACATTCCGTCAGCTTTGCAAGTTACAACTTCTAAAATTCCAGTAGCTACTTAGAATGGACCTACGGCAGAATAAAAAAAAATTAAAGTGTTTCAAAGTGAATGGCAGAAATATATAGACAAGGAATAAAGAAACTCAAGAAAGAGTTTCCCCACTGTCGCGTTATTGAATATTAACGTGGATAATGTGTAAATGATTTCCGTGGAGCTGTGGGTACGGAGCCCGTTCTGTCCTGAGCCTATGAAAACAGGGAGACAGAGGGAGCACGTGATTTATAACAATTTATCAAGTGTCTTCTGAGCTGCCTGGGGATGTGTTCACTCCCTGAAGAAATGGGCAATTAGGGTTTTTAGTTTAGAGTCAGAGAGATGAGAATATATTTAGCATAGGAGACAAAAGACAAACGAGAAATTGATTTTCAGAGAAATATGAAGAAAAGGGAGAAAGATGGATGATCTCAAGGGAATTTTTGATGGATGAAACAAATAAGTTTGCTGCCAGCAGGCTCAGTAATAACCTGGCCTCCAAGCACCTGATGAGGGTGGTTAGTGGGTGAGCAGCCCCCGACCTGCGGACACGGCCGTGCAGGTCACCCACGTTTTCAGTGAGGAACTAGACCTGTCGCCTCGTCCAGGTCAGGAGAGTCCCCGAACCCAGTGTCCTTGGGACTGCCGTGAGCTTGGGCCCCACCCAGCCCACAGCAGAAGCCTCTTCCCCCATCCGTGTCCAGGGTTGTCACGCTAGCGAGATCCTGAGCCCCTGCCCCCGGGGTGTCCCTGTAGGGGCAGTAACAGGGCGCTGCTACCTCTCGTGGCAGCAGGTGCCAGCGGAGGCCTCTGGTGCTGCGACCCCCAGCCCCAGTCCGCATGGTGGAGATGCTCACGGGGGGCCAGAGAGGCCCGGCGGCACCCGAGCTTCTGCAGCTCTCCGGCAGTCTGAGGGGCACCTCCCTGCGTTGCTGCCAGAGAGCGGGCTGGGTAGGGTGGGTGAGTCAGGAGAACTAAGGCCCAGCGTCTCACGAGATGCCGCCATCGGGTTTCCATAGGAAGTCGGAAAGCAACTGGGAAAGTGATTCCAGCTGTGAGATCCAAGAGCTTGTCTCTCTGTCTAGCTGAGGTCACTCAGCGCAGTGGCCTCAGGTTCCATCCGGTCACAAGTAGCAAGGTCGTTCCTTTAACGACTGAATAATATTCCGCTGACAGGTAAGCAGCATTGCGCAGTAACAGTGCACACACACACACACCGACACACCCCCCCACACGCACACCACACATGCATGCCCATGCACGCACACATGCACACACATGCACACACACACCAACACGCATGTACAAGCACACATCCACGTGCATGCACACCTCACACATGCGCACACACACCTGTGCACGCCCATGCAAGGTTGTAATGACTGAAGAAACCGCACAGGGCTTCTTTCTTTAGATTATGTTCCCACTCTTCTGGGGGGCAGGGGTGTGATGAAATGGTGACTTGATGGCAGACAGTATCCTGTTTAACATGTAACTTGTTGGGGACCCTCCCTGGGGGTGCAGCGGGTTAAAGTGCAGCACTGAGAAGCTAAAGCCGCTTCAGTGTGACTTCGATCCCGGCCCTGGTGGTGACCCACAGGGCGCGGCAGACCTCACCTGACCCGCCCGCTGCTCCCCTCAGCAGTGGACTTGGTCAGTCTGCCTGTTCTGCTCCCCACTTGTCTCTGTGAATCCTCTCACCACCCCTGCACCTCTGGCCTGTACCCCAGTTCTTTATGCATAAATAAATAAATCTTTAAAAATAAAGTAACTTCTTGGCAAAATAAAAGGTGGCTGATTCCTTATAAGCCCTCCCTGCCCCTAAAAATGTGGTTCCAACTTTTTAGCGCCATGACTGCAGAGGTGCAGCCGGCAGCCTGAGGTGCTCTGTGCTGCTGGCTTAGCTGACCCCCCCGTCCCCCGCATCCCTCCCCCCTGCTCGGCGCCACCCGGCACTGACAGACCTGGGCCAGGAACGGTGGCTGCAGGCCCAGCCCAGAGCGGACTTCAGGCCGTTGGCGAGAGAGCGGGCTCTGGCTTGCCCACGACCGGTGCTGCCTGTGTCCTCGAGGCCACATGCTGAGGACAGTGCCCATGTGGGGAGCGGAGGTCACCCCAGCAGCTGCTTTCCGGATCTTTCTCTCCATGCAAGTCGGCATTTGGCCCTCAGGTGTTTCTCCATGTCCCGCTCCGCGTCGAGTGTGGGCCCTCTGATGTGAGTTAGATGAGGGGTACTTGGCGTTCCTCATACACTGGTTGTATCACCAGGTTTTTTATTTATGAGAAAACTTAAGCTTTTCACAAAACATTAAAAACAAATAATAGTGTAAAATAGTAATGTTACTTACTTGGTATCTTGTCCTTATTAAGGATTAGCAAAATAGTCATTTTAAAAGTAGTAAGTGACTAGTTTTTACCTTTTTTAAACAGGGAAAGATAATCCTATTTAGATGATTTTTTTAAAGATTTATTTATTTATGCACACAGAACTGGGGTACCGGCCAGAGGAGCAGGGGAGGTGAGAGGCTTCACCAGAGACAAAGCGGGGAGCAGAACAGGCAGATCGACCAAGTACACTGTTAAGGGGAGCAGCGGGGAGAAAGGAGGGGTCTGCCGCGTGGTGTGGTCACCTCCCGGCGGGGATGGAACTCGCACTGAAGTGGCTGCAGCTGGTTTGCAGGGGTGCATCCTAACCCGCTGTGCCACCAGGGAGGGCCAATATCTACACAATATTTAAGAAACAATACAGTGTTCTTTGTTTTTCTAAAGAGTTCACCAATTACTTTGAATTTGAACATCTAATAAATGATTGCATAATAAAAATCAGATTGGAAAAATAAACTCAGTGTTTATAACTCAAAATGCAGCATTTCTTCTTTGCTAAAAAAAATCTCAGTTTTGGAAATGATCTTCATAGAATCTGTTCTAGTGCTACTTATAAATTCATATTATCAAATGTATTTATATATGCATATAGTAGACCACCATTTTTCTTTTAAGATTCATTTATCATGACTTAATTTTCTATCACATTTTTATAGCTTGGTTAATATTCATAACATGAGAACAAATAATGCTGTTTTATGCACAAAGTAAATATTTTAAATTTATTGCTTCAGTATGCCCCTAAGTATATCAAACCTGAGATTAGAACTGCAGTTATGAGGACTCTTAGAAATGTTAACACTGGGCCCTCCTTGGTGGCACAGCAGGTTAAAGCACAGCACTGTGACACTAGCGGCAGCTTCGGTGCAGGTTCGATCCCAGCCCCAGGGGTGACCCACATGGAGCAGCAGAATTCCCCTGACCCGCCCACTGCTCCCTCGGCAGTGTACTTCGTCGATCCGTTCTGCTCCCCACTCTGTCTCTGGGGAAGCCTCTCAATGCCCCTGCACCTCTGGCCTGCACCCTGGTTCTGTATGCATAATAAATAAATTTAAAAAAAAAAAGTGCTAACACTGACTGATAGGCACTTCTCCAAAGAAGACATTCTAGCCACAGGCACATGAAGAAATGCCCATCACCACTTACCATTAGGGACATGCTAATCAAACCCACACGGAGATGCCACCTTACACCTGGGAGAATGGCCCAAAATAAGGTAGCCAGGATCAACAGGTACTAATGAGGGTGTGGAGAAAAAGACGCTCCGTACACCATGGATGGGAATGTGGACTGGCCCAGCCTTTGTGGAGAGCAGTTTTAGAGGTTTCTCGAAAGATCCAAAGTGTACCTGCCAACCACCAGCAATTCCACTTCTAGGCATAAACATAAACACTAATTTGAAAGGAAAGTTCCATGGTTAGGTTTACTGCAGCATTATTTGTAAGAGCCAAGCCCTGGGCATCTAAATACTTCCAGACAGATAAGTGGACCCAGATGACTGGTCTATATACACAATGGAATACTACTCAGCAATCAAAAATGATAATCTCACACCATTTGCAGCAGGGGGAGTGGAGTTGGGGGGTGGTGCTAAGTGAAATAAGGAGAAAGTTAATACCAGACAGTGTCATTTATAGGTGAAATGTGGAGAAACCAAACAAAAATTCAGACAGAAACAAACTTTAAAAACAGCCCTTGAAACCTGACGGTGGAGCTGAGGCATCTAGAGGAAGAGGGATGACAATGGGCAGGAGAGGGGAGAGCACAGTGGCATTTGGGGGGGACTGGGGTGCTTCAGCGGCGGGGTCACCTGCCCAGCCACCAGCAAGGTTGTAAGCAGGGTGCTTCAGGTAAGAGAACCCACACTTTCACACTCCCAGTTACGCACCTCCACCCCATGTTTTCTTACACAAAAGTTAAGCCTTCTCTCCTGGTCAGGTGATACCTTTAAGAGACATTTCCTGGGAACATTTTCTGAAGGAGCCGGAGTAAAGCAGACCCCCCAGCCGTTGTAAGATACAGTTCCTCTCCAAATGCTTGGGCCAGTGAGATTTTTGCGGTCACTAGTAGATTTGGTCTTTAGCTTCCAGAATATTTTATCGAAAAATTTAAACAGTAAAGCCTTATTCCGTGGATGGTTTTAAAAGCTGGTTCCCTCTTTTTAAAATTGTGTGTGTGTGTGTGTGTGTATTTTATATCATTCTTCATTTTGGTTCCTTCCTTTGAAGGTGCGAGGCCCTCCGGCTGCCGGAGCCTTTAAGGAAAGGCCCACCAAGCCCACCGCCTTTCGCAAATTTTACGAGCGGGGAGACTTCCCGATTGCCCTGGAGCACGACTCCAAAGGAAACAAAATCGCCTGGAAGGTAAGTGGGGGGCAGCTGCTTCTGCTGCTGCCTCTGGCCGGCCCTGGGCTCCGGGAGTGGGGAAGCGCTTGGCCGTGGCAGCCGTCCACCTGGGCTAACAATTAAATTACAGCCTGCAAAAAAGAAAATGACAGAGTTGCTTTGCTGTAGAGAATTGCCTGCTGCCCGATTCATCTCTATTTTTGTGAGGACCTGGCCGCCCAGCCTGTCCCAGCAGTCCATCAAGTGATGGAACTGAGGGAAGGTGCGTGGAGAAGCAGCCATCTATCTCCCCCCAATTTCCCCTTCCTGCAGGACACTTCCAAATGGAAGCTTTAATTACCTAAATGGCGAGGTCAGGGCGGGCTGCCCCTGGAAGTGGGCGCTGGCTGCACAAGCAGGCTGTGCTGTCTGCGCAGGGCGGAGGCTGCCAGGGCCTGGCAGAGGCCACCGTGGAAGCCATTACTGCCCCGACATTGCCTGACACAAGGTTAATTGGCTTCCGAATAAATGCATTGCCTAATGACCCGTTTCTCTCTGAAAGGCCCACTGAGGCCATTTGTAAAAACGTGCCAGTCTCGTCACTGGAGAAGGCGCTGACGTTGGTTTAAAAAATGAACGCTGATCCCTAACCCGCGCCTGCTGTTATGTTTTTGTTACCAACGACTTGGCTTTGGGTGATGCTTGCCAGCCAGAAGGGCTGCTCGACCTGCGGGCAGCAGGGCCTGGCTGCTGAGGTTCGGCTCGTTGGGGCAGGCAGGTCGTTTGGGCCAAATGAGTTACCGGACCCGTGTAACTCAGCCCGCAGCCCCGCCTGAAGGCCTGTGGGGGGATTATTTGTGATTAGCAACACGTGCGTTCAAGTTAAAAATTAAAGCATCAGGGGAGGAATGATCTAAGTAAGCATCTTAAGAAAGAAGTCCGGAGCAGTAAGCTGACAGTGGCTGAGCTTAAAATCCTTACAAATTGTCTGAAAAAAGAAATCTGAAGGTGTCCTTGTTCCGGAATTTTTTCATCCGTTTGTTTTAGGGGGATACAGGACATTTCATCTTGCTTTTCCCCGTCGCCATTAAATGTGTGGTGGATGCAGAAAAAATAGCAAATGTAACTAATATCGGTATCTTAGTGTTAGTAGAAGTACATTTTCTTTAAATCTCACTGGTTTTTGAATCTCTTGTATTTGGTTAGTTACATGGATTTTGTGTTGGTCTATATAATGGTTCATAGAAAATGACTCGGAAATATTTCAAAACCCACTGTTTTTGAGTAAAAGGATAGGCCATGTTTCTTTATAAAAAGATTATGGTGTTTCTCATAATCAGTAAAACTGCACCAGTAAAAATAATTTACAGGCTTATTTTGACCTGTTAAAATAATCTTATTAGTATCTCTTAGAGGTGTCAAAAGCGAAGCGGAAAACTCATCTTGAAAATAATAAAAATATAGGATGAAACGTTTTGCTTTATCTTTGATAATCCCACAGTCAGTAGGGATATAAACTGCTTTTCTTTTTTATAGCTATATTAATTCTTTTAAGCTGCTATTGACTGTAGTACCGATTCAGCAAGCTGAAGGGTTGGAATAAAGAGGAAGCAATTTATTTGCTGCCTGTGGCAGGATAATAGCGTACATTTAAAGAAGCATCTTCTCCTGTAACCTGTGGGCTTCCATCACTGAGACCTTGCTAACCGCATTTCTCTGGTGCTACTCTGAAGTCGAAAATAAAATATTAAAGGTATTAAACATAAGCTTGGGAGCACCTGCTCCCCCCTACCCTGAAAAATAAAATGAGCCCAGAGCCCACCCGGTCCTGCCCCACACGGCCAGGCCGTAGGGCCTCGGTCAGGCACGTTTCGCTTGCCATCTCCAAAGGTTCCGGGGTAGCTGTGCTCCCCCAGGGCAAACACTGGTGCCCTCTCCTCCCTCCTTGTCACGCCCAAGGACTCCAGAGGGGCTGTGGGTGCATGAAATGGTGTGCCCGGTGAGAAGGCCTGCACCAGGACGCTGAGTGCCTGCCTCTGAAACACCTGGACTGGGCCCGAAACAGCACGGGCGTCCAGGCTGTGAAGCTGCGCGAGTGGCTGTCCGCCCAAGTCCCAGCCCCCTCTGTCTGTCGGGACCAGCTGACCTGCTCACCCCCCCGCTAGAAGCCCCCCCTTTTCCTGAACTATCTAAGGCAGTGGATGGAAATACCTTATGGCTGAGGGCGGAACCTCTGACCCTTAACTAGATGTGACGTAAGTGACCGCATGGTTCACACTTTGACCCTTAACTAGATGTGACGTAAGTGACCGCATGGTTCACGCGCCGGTGGCACGGGGCTCCATCAAGACAGTGGCATGAAAACGCGTGCCCAGCGGGCAGCTGTAGCAGAGCTCCTGCTAGCAGAGAAGCAGACGAGGCGCGGGCCCGTGGCCGTCTATGTTGTCACATGCGCTTGGCACATGGAGAGACGTGCGTCGTGGGGATTTCTGTCAGCTTCTTGTTGGCGTGCGACTCTAGGAAAGAGGGTTAGATGTGTCCAAGCTGGAGGCAGACTCCGGCCTGTAGCTCTCCATGCTTCACGCTGTTTAAAACACGCACATTCGGTATGAGCAAATCATTCGCGATCATCAGTGGACAGGAGGACACCTGACCATACAGCACGCTACTGAAACAAAACACGTCAGCCGCTGCTTTTCCCGCACTTCCTTGCCGCTGTGACCTGCAGCAAACACAGCGTAGGTCGGCGCTCACCTTCCCGGGGCCCGGGGTGAACACAGCTGGCTGCTTCTGGGTGAATTGCCAAGCAGATAATCCGCATGGACAACGGACGCGTAGAAACCGCGTTTGAGTTTCCGCATTTGGAATCCAAAGCCTGTGCCTTAGTTTCCCTCACCTGCGCCGCCTTGGGAGGCGGGAGGGGAGTGAGCAGGTGTCCTGTGGCCCTCCCACGCCCTCCTCTCCGCTTCCGCCCCACCCCCACCTCGTCTTCCTCCTCCTTGTCCACTGTTTGTGTTCCACTCTCTGGCGTCCATGTTCCTCCTTCTAGTTTTTCCATGGCCAATTTTGAAGATGCGGCCAGGATTCCACTCTAGTCCTCCTTTGCAGGCAGGAATCAGAAATCATTTTGTTTAGTCACCTGAATAAGCTCAAAATAACAGCCGCAGCTTACACCCTAATGAGGAGCCTGAATGCAAATCATAGGCAGCACTAGGAAATTTGCCATGATGTTGTATATAAATTCTGACCCCAAGCTATTGTTCCAACATAATATGGAATCGCAACTTCCATTAAAATGGCCATTTAGATACAGACCTTGGGAGAAAAGTGTAGTAGTGACATTGAACTTTTTACAGATAACCCCGCGTTATTGTGAACTGTGAGGCTTCAGCATTCGCAGCTACCCTAAGGCTCTCTAGTCCCTCCACCTTGTCCGTTTCTAGCCTAAGAAACCACTTCCCCTCTGGGAGTGACACCATGAGATGTGACGCCACTAGATGGTTAATTTCCACTAAATCGATAACGAGCATCGATAAGGATGTTCCAGGCAGTTGAGGGGCTGGAGCAACACATAGATACCCTATCACTGTCCAGCTGCGTCTGGATAGCATGTCAGCCCTATGTAAATGTAACTAAATAAAAAAATGTAAGTAAACTTGCAAATCTCAAATGATCTCAAAAGAGGGAAAGGCCAGGATGGACTTCCTCTTTTCCTCTGTCTGAAGTCCCCTCCCCTCCGCACTGGATAGCCTGCACTGGAGGCTGAGGCAGGCCTTGTCCAAAGCATTCTGGGTTTCTTTTTTTAGCCTTTATTTATTTATAGGTGACTTTGGTAGCCCATTATATTGAAAAAAAATGAAGCAAGTCAGGATGATACAGCAGGTCCCACTGAGAGTGGGCCTCAGAGAGCGTCTCCTCACTGCCCACAATGCACCCCTTCCCTCCGGGGGTTGGGGGGGAAAGGCCCACCAGAGCACTCTCCCTGGAGTTCTCTGCCACCGGCACTTCTGTGTGGAGTAAAACATAGGTGGCACACTTTGTCTTTCTATTGAAAAGTGACTACATAAATGAACTTGAACTATGTGATAAAACCCACATTTAGCCAATGAATTATAAAAAATGTGCTCATTGCTCTCTATACCCCACTTTATTACTAAAAGATTTTAAGCCATTTAAAAAAAACTACAAACTACAGGAAGTTAGCCTATAATTAGGAAGACAAAAGAAATCGAAAAGCAGCAGGTCCGCTGATTTGTTTTTTACAGCATGATGAACGTGGGTCCCGAGTCGCCTGACGCAGCTTGGCCGTCTGTGATTCTCGCTGGTCGTCTGGGGACCCGGTGCTGGGGGCATTGTGGGGCTGGGGCTTGCCCGGCCGGCATGGAGGGGCCTGGAGGCCACTTGCTCTCCACTGCCCGGAGCTCCTCTCTCGCTCCCCAGGCCCCCTTCCCTCTCTGCAAGGGGAGGGCTGGCCAGATGATTGGGCTGGGCTCCACAGACTGTTTCATAAATACTGACATGTCTGTGTTTCGCGATGCGCACGGAACACTTCAAAGAGCAAATGCTGGTTAGAAATGAGCGCACGGGTCAGGGACTGCGCAGGCAGGCGCAGCAGGCCGCCCGCTCCAGGCCTCCAGGCCTGGGCTGAGCCGGCCCTCAGGGCGCTGCTACGCGACCAGACCTAGGCACTTTCTCGGGACGGCTGGCCCCTTGCCTCTCAGCGTTTTCCTTTCTAAGCTATTTTAGTCACTAAAACTGTGTGTCCGACTTGAACATACCGATCAGTACGGAGGGGCGTGGGGACCGTGGCGATGGATCCGGGTGCCGTGGGGCAGGGGGGAACAACTGGGGCCAACCGCCGGGAGAAAGAGAGCATTCAGGAAAAAGTGAATAAATTTTAAAAAGTTAAAAATTACAAAAATGAAATAGTTCATAGGAAAGAAAAGAAAATGCTGTGAGTAAATGAATTGTGTGTTCAAATTAGTTTTTAGAGTTTCCACCGTCTGTCTGGACAGTGCCCTCAGTTCTGTGTTGACCCT